GAAATTCTTGAGGAATCTGGATGACTCCCTTAAAAATCGTAAGAATCCGGATGGGAATCCTAATGGATATTTGGGGGATCCTTAGGATAGGAATCCGTAAATCCCTAAGGATTCCTTAAGAGTCCCCAGGGAATCCTTAGGAATCCCGATTGGATCATTAGGAATCCTTATTGAAACCTTAGGAATCCTTAGGAAATCCGTAGGAATCCGTTGGGGATCCTTAGGGATCCCGGGGGAATCCTTTGGAATCCCTCGGGGATCTTTTGGCATACATAAGGAATCCTTCGGAATCCATATGGGATATTTTAGGATTCCTTCGGGAATTCTTCGGGCTCCCCAGTGAATCCTTGGGAATCCCTTGGGGATCCGGAGGAATCCCTTGGGGATCCTGAGGAATCCTTGGGGAATCCGTAAGAATCCCATACCCCCGCTGCCGCCTACCCAGCCAAGAATAATTGACGTTGCGCGCCACCCCTAATTCAAATTCGCCCTCCATGCTCAAGCAGCAGGGCCGCGCACGCAATTTCAAGGCTACCCTGTCCTTTCAAGCCCAGGCCGGCCCCATGATAGTTATATTGAATTTAGTTCTGCTTCGGAACATCTTGAGATTCCAGGGTGACCCTGGAATTACCCGACACCACAGCAGAAGTAGCTAACTAATCGATAGGGATGAACAGTCTTCAGCGCCACGCCATACGTTCCCCGCGGTGGCCCAGGCGTGCCCTCCGCGGACGTTGGCCGCTTGCACCTGGTCAATCTGGAATGGCCGGGTCACGAGCCGCCGTTTCAATTGCGCGGTCGGCCTGCTAGTTCGGCTGCGCAGCCGGAGAAGATTCCACCGAGCATTACGCAGAGTGCCGACGTGTTCGCAGCAGTGTGCCGCGAACTGGGCTTGGCGTGCCCGACCACGCCAGAGCTACGCCTGGCCAGTTTCCTGCTGCTCGAGCCGGCGTACCCCGAGGCGACCGCGCCAGAACTGCGACGACGTGCTCTGGCCACGCGCGGCGTGCATCTCACGCGGTGCTGGGCCCGCCACGCGGCCGCCAGAGGGCCGCTCGAGTGTCGCAACGCTCTGAGGCTCAAACATTTGGAGCTCTTCTGATGATTGTACACCCTGCGAAATGCTTAAGAAATCATGGGTTAAGAAATTCATAGTCTCAGAAATTGAATAAAAACCCAGAACTTCTATCAAAATCTTGGGATTTACATTGGAAAGTTAAGAATCATCGAGGCTCTGGCCGAAAATTTAAGTTTTCTTAAGCACCGCCTAAGGTGTAGTGCCGTTTCCTCCATCTTTTCTCCCGTGCGTTCATGTTTTCATTGTTTTGCCCCCCGCTCTGCTCTGGGCAGAGCGCCGCAGGCAGCGTGGCGACCACCAGGGGTCGCAGTGCCGCCCATATCGACGAGATATATGTTTCACCTCTCTCTCTCTCTTTTCCCCTCGCTTTCCTCCGTCCTCCTCCTTCCGTCCTCCTCGCTCCCCTCTCTCCGGATCGTGCCGACGATCTGCGGATGCTGGCCAGCAGTTGAGTCTGCGGCGGTGGAAGCCCTGGGCGTTCGATTCGAGCATGCAGCCGCCCTCATCCCCTCCCTTCCTTCGTCCTCTGCCTCCTCGGCCTCCCTTTACCTGTGAATCGTGGTGCCGATCTGGTTGTCGGAGCCGGCAGTTGAGTCTGCGGCGGTGGAGGCCCCGAGCGCTCGATTCGAGCGGGCAACCGCTCTCCTCCCCTCCCTTTCTCCGTCCTCCGCCTCCTCCATCCGCCTCGTCCCTCTCCCTCCGAACCGTGGGGCCGATCTGTTTGTCTGAGCCGGCAGGTGTGCCCGCGGCTGTGGAAGCCCCGAGCGCTCGATTCGAGCGTGCAGTCGCCCCCTCCCCTTCTGTCCTCCGTCCTCTGCCTCCTCGCCCTCCCTCTCCCTCCGAATCGTGGTGCCGATCTGTTTGTCTGAGCAGGCAGGTGTGTCCGCGGCGGTGGAGGCCCCCAACGCTCGTCTTGAGCGTGCAGTCGCCCTCCTCTCCTCCTGTCCTCCGTCCTCTGCCTCTCCTCCTCATTTTCCCTTGTCCCGGGATCTTGACGGCGTGCGCCAGGGTGGCCGCGCCTGTGCAGAAAATTTGCCCATGCGCCAGCTGCACGCGGGGTTGGGCCACCGACATGCCGCCCGGTCTCGTTTGCCGCTCCCTACGGGGAGCCGTTGCTTGCCCGCACTGCCTTCGTTGCTTGCCGCCTCCATACGCAACCCTTTGCCTTGCATGTTTCACCCCGTTGGGGCACTCTTGCACGGCATCAACATTTCAGCGTGCTTGGTTGTAGATCCTCTGAGCTGGGAGGGTCGTGCAGGCACTATCCTGATTTTGGACGTACCACCCTGTCCTCGATTTCAGGTTGGTCCCCGATGTTGCCCCCTCGCCTTTTCCTCCTTCTTCTCCTCCTCCCACGCCTGTTCCCCTCTTTTCTGCACGAGCTTGCGGCCAATATTTCGGCCAAGTTCGCAGGACAACGCTGCTACGTTTGCGGATGTTTCGCGAGCTACCCGAGCCAGGGCTATCGCAGGGTCTTGTTATCACTGCTTTGCGGTCGGCTACATGCGGGATGCGCGATCGGGTTAGCCCCCCCTGCGGAGCAGCGGATTCGTCCTTCTCCCCTGCTTGGTTTCCGTATATATATTTTTACATATAGGTTTGTAAATATGTATGCATGCATGCATGCATGCATGTATGCACGTATGTATGTACGTATGTATGTATGTATGTGTGTATGCATGCATGCATGCATGCATGCATGCATGCATGTATGTATGTATGTATGTATGTGTATGTATGTAATATGTATATATGTATGTTTGTATGTATGTATGTATGTATGTATGTATGTATGTGTGTGCATGTATGTATGTATGTACGCACGTACGTATGTTTGTATGTATGCATGCATGTATGTATGTATGTATATGTGTCTGTATGCATGTATGTATATAATGATATGTGTATGTATGTTTGTTTGTATGTATGTATGTATGTAGGTATGTAGGTACATGTACATAGGTAAACGCATGTATGTATGCATGTATGCATGTATGTATGTATGTGCGTGTACGTGTATACGTGTATGTATGTACGTATGTATGTAAGTATGCATGCATGCATGCATGTATGTGTGTACGTATGTATGTATGCATGCATGTACGTATGTATGTATGCATGCATGCATGCATGGATGTATATATGTATGTATGTGTGTATGTATGCATGCATGCATGCATGTTTGTATGGATGCATGCATGTATGTATGTATGTAGGTGTGTAGCTACACGTATATAGGTAAATGCATGTATGTATGTATGTATGCATGTATGCATGTATGTGCATATACGGTGCGTATACGTGTATACGTGCATGTATGTGTGTATGTATGTATGCATGTATGGATGCATGCATGCATGCATGCATGCACGCATGCATGTATGTGTGTATGTATGCATGCATGCATGCATGCATGCATGCATGCATGCATGCATGTATGTATATATGTTTATGTATGTATGAATGTATGCATGCATGCATGCATGTATGTATGTATGTATGCATGCATGCATGTATGTATGTATGTAAATGTAAATGTATGTGTGTACATGTATGTAGATTCCTGGCTACGAAAACCCTTCAGGCGCCCTTGTAGGGGTTCCTCCAGGCCTCCCCTGCCGAACTTAGCTGGCGGGCCCACAGCGGTCGAGCGGGCGGCCAAACGGCCTCGCGAAAGCCCCAGGCTCCTCCACACCCTCCTCAAATATCTTACGCTCAGGAACTTTGGCTTTGCGTGTCTTTCCGCCGGTTCTGGTCCACCACGCTTCGACACGACACGCTATCCACTTCCAGGTCCCCTATTGTCAACGTCCCGAGTTTGTCCCAGCCTCCCTCCCCGCGGGTCGGAGCGACACGATATCCGCTTGCAAGGCAAATCGTGTCGCCAGGGTCGCGTCCGCGACGCGCCATCCGAATAAGACGCTCCAAATAAGAGCCCCAAGAGGCGTTTCGAATGGCAAGGAGCATTGTATTTGTTTTTGGACAATTAGGGGGGGCATCCGCTTTTTTTGTTTTCTGGGGTCCAGGATCACCGAAGAGGCTCACAAGAAAACATGAAGACAGTTTCTGCATGTTTTCTTGCGAACCTCGCTGGGCCAGTGGCACTTTTTGTGTGTGGAGTCGCAGCGACGCGGCGACAGGACGGGAGCAAGCTCACCCGTGCAAGAACTAGACAATACGTACCGGGCGGTCCTCTGGTGTCTATGGGTTTAATGACAAGACGGCCCGACACGATCCCAAGGCGCCCGCCAGAGCACTCCGCGTCTGGACCCGGTCGTTGAGGGAGACCGCGGCTGCCAGAAAGATGGCTTCAAGAAGCCCCCCGAGGCTCCCGAAATGCTCCCACGAGGCAAACCCCCAAGAAGCCTTCGATCGGCGTTCTCAGGACCTTCCAAGGAGAAGCGTCCGCGAAAAAATTGAGAAGGAGGACAGGCACGGTCCACAGGGAAGGTCGAGAACGAGAAAGAGAAAGGTGAAAGATGAAGGAATGCACCAGATGTAAGGAAAAATAAGACAACGACGAGAGCGAAAACTGGGGCAGGCGTATACTCGTGTTTCTTGTTTCTTGCTCCCTCCCCTCTCTCTTTCTCTAATTCTTATTCCGCCCGTGTGCGGCACTCGAGGGTCCAAGGTGCAAGGCGCGAGGCCCCAATGCAGTCTTGTGTATATGACTACATGAGCTAGTTGGCAAGAAAAATCTCGACGGACCTTTTGGTGACTTTTGGTCGGTTGAACATTTTGTTCTCGAAATTCCTCAATTCGTTTGAGCTCTAGTATTTTTTCCCGTGATATTCGATTTTAGTCCCGCTCCATCTTGATCTCAGCTCGATCGGGTTGGATATGTTAATCTGGCCATCCCACCTGCCATTCGCGTCGCCCCCCTCCTCTCCACCTGGTCTCTGCCGACAGTGCGCCTCGTCAGGCCAGGTGCCAGGCTGCCCAGGGCGGCGCCGCTGACACGCAGGCCGCTGCGCACAGGGCCCAGGAGGGCGGGGCGCTTGCGCCAAAGGGGTGCAGACCGTTGCGGGGCGGGGCGCTTGCGTCAAAGGAGGGCGGGGCGCTTGCGGGGCCCAGGAGGGCGGGGCGCTTGCTTGCGTCAAGGCCCAGGAGGGCGGGGCGCTTGCGTAGCCGGTCCTGTCCGGGCGGAGACGGGGCAGAGCGGGAGGAGGATGGAGGAAGGACGAGGGGGAGAGGAGGAGCAGCGAAATTGGGATCGGGAGCTCCAGCAAGACGGGCAGTGGCAGGAGGCGTGGTGGGGAAGCCCGGTCTCGCGGCCAGGCCCAGTCGATCACACCGCGACGCTTTGTTTTTCATATGTTGCGCGAGTCCTTCATCCCCCTGGCCTGGCACCAGGGGGAGCAGGAGCAGCAGGAGTGGCATGAGGAGCGCTGGAGCGGAGTCTTGACGCCAAGTCTGGCCAAACGTGGCTCCTCGGCGACTGGCATGCCGCAAGCCGCGTTCCGTTCGACAGGCTGCACCTTCTGCTCCGTCAGCTCTTGCTTTCTCATTTGCCTCTGCTCATCCGCGCCTCGTGCTCACTCGTGCTGTTCCAGTGGAGGGAGGAGCAGAAGGAGGGATGCTAATCAGGAGGCGTGAGGAGAGGGGGAGGTATCAGGAGGAGGAGGATGAGGAGGGACGGAAATAAGGCAGGAGGATGATAATGACACAGAAAGAGGAGGAGGAAGAGGAGGAAGAGGAAGAGAAGGAAGGAGGGAGGACCATGACAGTGGAGGATGAGAAGGGATGGATGCGGCGGGGGAGGATGACGGGAAGGGGGATGCGGAGGTAGATGAGTTGCATACGCGCTGGCTCTTGTTGCCTACGGTGGAATAACTAAAAGGGAGGAGGAAGAGGAGTTTGAGGGGATGGACTCTGTGGCCACTGATCCCCTTAGTCGGGGCAAAACACTGGAGGGAGATCGGAGGCGTGCGAGGGGAACGGGGGAATATGAACGCCAGAAGGGGAGCGAGATGAGGAGAAGGCGGAGGAGTAGGAAAAGGTGGAGGAAGAGCAGGAGAGGGAGGAGGAGGAGTAGGAGTAAGAGAAGGGGGAGGATGGGAGGAGGAGGACAGAGAGCGGTGGAGGGCCGCGCGGTGCTTGCATCTGCCACCGCCTCGGCCCAAGCCTTTTTCGGAGAGGTCGCGCGCCGCAGGCAGCCCGCGACCTGAATGCGCCAGGCGGGCCGCGGCGCGGTGCTCCTGGCGTTCCACGTGGGCTCCGCCTGGCTGGGACAGTGGTGGGCCAGCCGCGTCCCCGCCAGCCCGCCCGCCGCGCGGCCTGCGGCCGCCCTTCCGCCAGCTGCGGCGCGGGCCCCCGCTCCGCCAGCGCGGAGCTGCCCGGCGGCCGCGCCGCCGACCCCCGCGCTGGCTGGAGAGCTGTGCGCGGAGCTGGAGAGGTGCTTGCCCTGGGGGGCGTCGGCACCGCTGGTGGAGTGCCCTGATCCTTGCCCGGCGTGCCCCGAGCCGGCCAAGGCGGAGTTCTCTTGGGGCATCGAGGTCTCGTTAGGCTTGGGGACCCTCCTGCTCTGGGAGCTCGCCACCTGGCTTTGGGCCGCCGTGCGCGGCCGGCTGGGCCGCTGGTGCGGCCGGAAGCGCGAGGGGCTCCTTGCGGTCGAGGCTTACGGCGAGGTGGCTCCACTGGTCGGCGCTCTGGATCGCAGGGTGCCAGGAGGGCGCGGCAGGATCGTTGGTGACTGGACTCCGCTTGGAGCCAAGGCATGAACATCGGAGATGAATTATATGTGGAATACGACTTGCCAGGGGCTCCGCTCCTGCACGCCCGCGTCGTGGTCGGCGTCTCTGGGATCGAGGGGCTCCATGTTGCAGTCGTTTCTCCTGATCATGACTTGTTCATTGAGTGGTTCAGCGAAGACGATGACGACATCCGACATTGGTACAGAGTCGGGCCAGGGCGTGCTCTCATCCGAGAAGACGGGGACATCATCCCAGCCGCTGGCGGAGCTGGGCTCAGGGTCTACGATTTCGCCGCCGCGCTCGCGCCCGCGGAGCTACAGGCCTTCACGCAGCAGGCCGGGGTGCTTCTTGCTGGCCACGATGCTGCTCTCGCTGTCGCTGCGGCACGTCCTGCAGGTGGCGGTGGCGGGGCGCTGGTCGCCGCTGGAGGCGGCGGGGCTGCTGGAGGAGGCGCAGCGGGTGCTCCCGCGCCCGCGGCTGGCGGCGGCGGACTCGCTGTGGCGGGAGGACCTGCCGGCGGGCTGGCTGCTCTGCTCGGAGGAGGCGGAGGCGCTGCGGCGGGCGGGGCTGCTGGAGGAGGCGGTGTTGGTGCACTCGGCGCGGGACCCGCCCCAGCGGCTGCCGGGGCGCTTGGAGGCGGCGCCGCCGCAGGAGCCCCCGCGGGAGGCAGGCTCGCCCCCATGCCTGCGCCCGCTGCTGGAGGAGCCCCCGCGGCTGGAGCCGCCGCCGCGCCCGCAGCCGCTGTCGCCGACGGCGCCGCTGGGCTCGCAGCTGCACTGGCTGGAGCCGGAGGAGGACCGCTGGCGGTCGCCGCTGATGGGGCTGGAGACGGTGGCTCGGGCCCAGGTGATTGCCGCACCCTCGCAGTGCTGTGCGACGTCAACGGGAAGCGGCATCGCGCGTTCGCCTCGGGAGTGGCTCTGCTTCGGTCAGTGGACTGGAGCGATTGGGTGGTGCCAGGCCCGAGGACAGCACACTGGGTCGCCAACTTCATGCTCGAGAACGGAGGGGGCGCATTGGGGCATCACGTGCAGTGGAGGTCGACCATACGCTTGGGTCTCGACGACGTCGTCGTCTCGGCTCACCATGGGTACTCGAAGATCTTCGAGACAGCGCCATGATACGACCAGTTGGACCTCACAAGCCTGGCCAGTCTCGAGTTGGTATCTCGCCAACTTCAACTCTGTGAAGACAGGCACAGAGATCGAGTCTCGGGGACGAGAAAGGACAGCGACGAACACCAGGACGAGGAGTACTACTTCACGGGGATGGCCACGACACGAGGGCCCATGGTCGCCCCAGCGCTCTCTACTTGGATCAGCGAGCAGATTGCAAGAAAGAACGCCGTCGCCAAGGAGAGGCGTAAAGCGCGGGAGGAGAGACAGCTTGCCAAGCCCAAGGGGCCCAAGGGGCCAAAGGGGGCGGACGGTGGCTAACTTCCTCCTGGACCTCATCGATCAAGGCTGCCTGCTGCTCCCTGGCCCCGGGCGCGCAGGCTCTTACATCTTCGGCCGCGAGGCGACGATGCGCCAGCGCGACATCTTCCCCTTGCCTCCTCTCTTTGTCCCTTCTACGACTGGCGCTGGCTGCCGCGCTGTCGCCCGTCGTGCTCATCGCCGCCGTCGTGCGCTCGACTGGGCCAGCGATGGCATCCAATCTCTCAACTCATTTGCTGGACGTGATCTCGCTGGCGATGGTGCCGTCAGCGCTGCGCAGCGGAGATGCCTCGAGCACCTGGGGCGCAGCTATTGCTCAGTGGATGTCTGTCCAGCAGATGTGCGTCGCCGCGGGAGCCTTCGTGAGCTCTGCGGGAGCGCCGCCATGCACGGCGACTGCGCTACAACCGTCGTGCCCTACAACAAGGACGCCGTGTCCTGGCCGGCTGTGGGAGCGAGGCCTGTCTCACTGGGCGATGCGCTGCCAGCCGAGCACCCTACCTGGTTGAGGGATCTGACGGCCAACATGCGAAGACCTCCAGCTGCAGCGGCTGGCCTTCGGTCTGAGCTCGGACTTCTACATCCTTATCTCGACCCAGCGTTTCGGGATCACAGAGTGCATGGGGATTTCGTGACTGGGCTGGTGAGTCGCGGCATGGCTCGCCTAGTGCCCGCCGAGGAGCTTGGCGACAGCAATACAACGGCGGGCTTCTTCTTTGCGAAGAAAAAGAACCAGATGCAGAGGATCATCTTCGACACCAGGCTGGCGAACTGCGACTTCACGCCGCCGCCGTCGACGCACCTGCCCTCAGCCGCAGCGCTCGCGAAGCTGGAGACCCAGGAGTGCGACGTCGTCTGGTTCAGCAGTGGGGGCATCAGCAACGCCTCTTACGCCATCGAGGTGCCGGAAGAGTTGGGGCCCTGCTGCAGGCCCCCCGCGCTCCGCGGGGGCGCCTTTGGCATGCGGGGCCGCAGCGCTTCGACACTCTTGGTTCCGGTGCTGGCGGTGTTGCCGATGGGCTGGAGCTGGGCGCTGCACCTCTGCCAGCTGGTGACAGAGGAAGGGCTTTCGCGCGGCGGCCAGCGAGCTGATTCCCTGGCGAAGGATCGCGAGGCCTCTCGCCCGCTGGGGCCTGGGCGCGCGCTCGGGGCAACTGCGTACGTCGACAACTTCATGGTGATGGGCTCGCCCAAGCAGGACGTCTGCGCCGCAGGCCAGGCTGTTGCGGAGGCTCTTTCCAGCCAGGGCTTCACGATCCATGAGGAGACCGACGGGGCGGTGGACAGGACCGACTTCGTGGGCCTCTCGTTTGACGGGCGCGGGCACACCGTTCGGGTCTCCACCGAGCGCGTCTGGAGGTTGAGGCTGGCCATCGAAGAGCTTTTGGGCCGCCGCACCTGCTCAGGGCACGTTCTCGAGATTGTGGTCATTAGGGCATGCGACCTGGATTATGATGGTTCAGCGGTCCTCCCTGGCGGTGTTCAGCTCTGTGTATGCGTACATTAAGGCCATGGGCACTGAGGAAGGCGAGCTGTGGCCGGCTGTGAAGGAGGAGCTCCGGCATGTCAGGAACCTGCTGCCGCTGATGGTGGCCCACGCGGACGCCGACTGGCACGGCAAGGTGACAGCCAGCGACGCCTCTCACGGGGGCTGCGGGGTCTGCGAGCGCGAGGCGAACGTGGAGGAGATCGCGCGCTGGGGGCGGACGGCCGAGCGCTGGCGGCACCGCCAGGGCGCTACGGCTGCGCGAGCCCACGCCTTGGGGGGCGAGGAGGCGGCCGCCAAGCTGGAGCAGATGCTGGTGCTAGACAACCTGCCGGACAGCCTGCGCCAGGCCGATGAGCGCGCGAGGGCCTTCGACATGGTCGACGCGAGCTTCACGGACCCAGAGGTGTGGCATATCGTCGAGTCGTTCCCCTGGCGGGGCCCAGCGAACATACTGAGGTTGGAGGGTCTCGCTCTCTCCGACGCCCTTCGGCATCTCCTTCGAGATCAGAAAGCCTTCGGACATCGTGTATTTCTCTTGGTCGACAACCTGGGGCTGGCCCTTGCGGCCGGAAAGGGCCGATCCTCGGCCTTCCAGCTTCGGGGCATCCTTCGTGAGATCAGCGCCTTCACCCTGGCTTGCCGCCTCCACGCGTGTGTCCGCTGGGCCCCGTCCGAGAGGAACCCGGCTGATAACCCTTCGCGAAACCTGTGCTTTCTCAAGCCGCAGCTGGAGGAGGAGTGTGCCAAGCTGGGGTCTGCTTCTGCTGGTGATGAGCGTGGGGGGCTGCCAGCCGTGCCAGAGTTCCCGAGCTTCGGCGCAGGCCAGGAGCGGTCGGTCTCGCACGCGAAGCAGGACGGAGCTGGAGGCCCCTCAGGACGACTGGATGAAGATGATCGGCATCATGTCGACTGCGGCGGCGGCCGCCAGGAGGACTTGGTGCCACGCGCCATCGCCCGAGTCGGCGCCCCTCCCGGGCTCGTGCCCGCCATCCTCCCTGGAGTCGAGGTCAGTGGCGAAGGCGACCTTCTCGGACTACCAGAGGAGAGCCAAGGCCTTTCTGGGATGGGCACTGCAGGCAGGGGTGAGCTGGACCTCAGTCGAGGAGCTCGACCTGGCGCTGGTGCTGTACATGGACAGGCTGTTCTTCCTGGGGTGCGCTGGGGACGTGGCCAGCAAGACCTTTGCTGCGGTCAAGTTCTATTACCCGGAGGTCGGCAGGTACGGCGCGCGGAGCTTGCCGAGGGCGATCAGGGCGCTGGCTGGCTGGGCCAAGGTTGTTCCGCGGGCAACGCGGATGCTTGTGCCGTGGCTTCTGGCGGCGGCGCTGGCGGGGCACCTCTTGTCGCGGGGCTTGCTGGAGCACGCGGTCGCGCTGCTGCTGGCCTTCAATGCATACCTCCGCCCAGGCGAGCTGGACGCGCTGACGCCCATGCAGCTTGTTGCGCCGGTGGCAGGCGCAGGGTTCGGGCAGCAGCACTGGGCGCTGCTGCTAGGGCCGAGCGAGCTGGGGGCTCCGACAAAGGTGGGCGCCTTCGACGAGAGCGTGGTGCTGGGCGGAGTCGGGTATCTCTACGAGTGCCTCTCAGTGCTCAAGCGGCGCAGCCAGCGCGTGACAGACAGACTGTGGAGCTTCGCGCGCAACGACCTGTCGATGGAGACGCAGGTGTCAGCAAAGGCACTCGGCCTGGGCCAGATGGGGATTGACCGTCTACGGCCTGCGGCACGGCGGAGCCTCTCACGACCTGTTGACCAGTGCGCGCTCGGCTCTAGAGGTCAAGTCCAGGGGGCGGTGGCGCTCAGATGCGATGCTGAAAAGGCACGGCAAGGGGGCGAGGGCGTTGGCAGAGCTGTACAAGGCCCCAGCCCAGACGCTCGAGTTCGGGCGGCGCGTCGCCGCCAGGCTGGAGGCGATCTTCCTCAATCGCGAGGGCCTGCCGCCGCTGCCGGCGCTTCCCGTGGGGCCTTGCTCAGTGATGCCGAGGTCAGGGTGAGGATGCGGCGAGTGCTGAGAAAGGCGCTGGCCTTTGCGCGGGTCTCTAGGAAGCAAGTTTTTCTGGAACTTTATTCTGGCGAGGGGGGCATCTCCAAGGCGATGCGAAACCTCGGTTTGGGGGTCGTGCCGGTCGACATTTTAAAGCTCCCCTGGTTCGATCTGGATAGGCTTTGCATTCAGAAGATGGTGCGGGGGTGGATCACGGGGGGCGTCGTCGTCGGTCTGTGGATGGGGACTCCTTGCTGCTCTTGGTCTCAGGCTAGGCATGGGCCCCCGAACAGTAGTTGGTGCCGTCTCAGAAGCCCTTCTCATCTGTGGGGTTTACCTAACCTCAGCCAGCGTGCTCGCCTAGCCTGCGATAAGGGCAACTCTCAGCTCAAATTCTGTCTCTCCTTGATCCGTGCCTGCCGTAGCAACCATGTTCCAGTGGCGTTGGAGAATCCAAGTAGCAGCTATATGTGGCAGACTGCTCAGCTTGCCCGCTTCTCAAGGCGGCCAGATAGCCATCAGTGTGTTGTGGATTTTTGCGCCTTCGGAGCCCGCTGGCGAAAACGCACCCGTGTCCAGGTCTGGAGTTCCGGTTTTCGGATAAACCTCCCAGGGCCGTGTCGCGGGCGTTCGGGCCAGTGCAGTTTTACGGGCAAGCGCCATATTATCTTTTCTGGCCGTGGCCCAAATTCGGGCAAACTTTGGACCACCGCTGCTGAGCCTTACCCTGGTCGTTGTTGTGTTCTGTTTGCCCGGGCGTTGGAGCAGGCGATCCAGTCACTTAAGTTGAGACGATTTCGACAAATAGTTAGTTGCGGTTAATGCCAGAATCCCATTCGGGGTGACTTGGGTTTCTCTCTTCCTCTCTCGTTCGGTGTGGTGTTGTGTTGTGGTGTGTGCTTGTGCCGTGTGCGTCGTGCCGTTCGTTCGCCCCCCTCCCCTCCGCCGAGCTTGGAGCGTGGCCCGTCCTGTCCTGCTCGACCTGCCGGGCCTGAGACACACAAAGTCCTGGCCTGGTTGAGCGTCGCGATGGGGAGTTCTAGAACAGTAATCGCAGAGCGGTGGAGGGCCGCGCGGTGCTTGCATCTGCCACCGCCTCGGCCCAAGTCTTTTTCGGACCCGCCCGCTGCCTCCCTTCTTTTCTCTCTTCCTCTCTCGTTCGGTGTGGTGTTGTGTTGTGGTGTGTGCTTGTGCCGTGTGCGTCGTGCCGTTCGTTCGCCCCCCTCCCCTCCGCCGAGCTTGGAGCGTGGCCCGTCCTGTCCTGCTCGGCCTGCCTGGCCTGAGACGTATGCTGCTGCTGATGATGAGGATGAGGATGATTAGGATGATGATGCTGACGGTGATGCTGATGATGGTAATGATGCTGGCGATGGTGATGGTGATTGTGATTGTGATGATGATGCTGATGATGACGATGATGATGACGACGATGATTATGGTGATGGTGATGGTGATGATGATGATGGTGGTGGTGGTGGTGACGATGATAACGGTGATGATGATGGTGATGATGACGATGATGATGTTACTACTAATTATAGTAGCAATACTAGTAATGATCTCTATATATATACACACTAAAAACAATAATACTGATACAGTATTATGACTATTGTTTTTAGTGGCGATCTTGACTCGTGCCAGAACACCATCCCTGGGATTTCAACACTGCGAATTCACTTAACTGCTGCGCTCGTTCCAAAACGCCAGGTTTGGCACGTTAGCCATAGAAGCTGCAAAACTCGTTGAAATGTAAGGCGAGTGTACGCGGTGTCGAGGCGATAGCCACATGTTGTCAAGGAACCGAATTCAATCCTTGAAACTCTTGCACATGTTAACAAAAACGAGCGGCGCTAAGGCGAGAGCCACAATTAGAAATCAACCCGCCCTCAAGCCGTTAAGCTCTTGCAGAGATGTGTGACGAATGTGCGCGGCGCTAATGCGAGAGCCACATTTTGCAGCGACTCGCCCTAAATACATTAATTTCTGTAATTGTGTATGGCGAATGTGCGCGGCGCTACGGCGAGAGCCACAATTAGAAAACAACCCGCCCTCAAGCTGTTAAGCTCTTGCAGAGATGTGTGACGAATGTGCGTGGCGCTAAGGCGAGAGCCTTATTTTGCAACGACTCGCCCTAAAACAATTAATGTCTGTAAGTGTTTATGGCGAATGTGCGCGGCGCTAAGGCGAGAGTCACATGTTTAAACCACCCACACTCGATTTGTGAAGCTGTTGCCAAGATTCAAGCTTCAGAAATATACATGGTAAGGAAGTCTTCGGCGAAACGCCTGGCCAGCCATTCCGACTGGCCTCGGGGTGCGACAGGGAGGAGTTATTTACAAGGAAAAGGGATGGAGGAGGAGGGGGAGGAAGAGGAGGAGAATGAGAAGGAGAGCGGGGTGGGGGGCGGGGGGTGGGAAAGCGGAGTGACGAGGAGACCAGGGCGGGTGGGGGGTGAGCGGGAGCTGGAAACGACGAAGAGAGCGGGGTGGGTGGGGTGGGGGAGGGACAGAAAAGTTAAAGGGAGCGAGGTTGCAGCCTCTTGCGTCAACGTTGTCCCCAAACGCCCACCGGGAGGGGAGGACTGCTACACCTCGCCATGCAGCCCGGCTTCGTGCCGCAGCAGCAGCAGCCGCAGCAGCAGCAGCCGCAGCAATTCAGGCTGGGCGAGCGGGCGCCTCCACTATCGAGGGCTCGAGGGTTCGAGGATTCGGGGATTCGAGGGTTCATGTCGTGCCGATGCGCTGGGGGGGCAAGAGGGCGGTTAGGCAGGTAGACTTTTAGGGGGCTTTTGTCGAGAGGGACTTCGCCACTGGCCTGCCCCCGCTGTCGCACGGAAGGAACCGAAGGGCATAGATCCCTTAGATTTCCGACGGTTTGCGTATTGTGTGAAGGAGCCGGTGGGTGCGGCGGTGCTTCTCAGAGGCGTCGCCTGGCGTTGCACGGTTCCTCGGGATCCCTCGCTTGGGTTCCTCGGGGTTCTTCGCTTGGGCTCCTCGGGGCTCCTCGCTTGGGTTCCTCGGAGTTCTCGGCTTCCTAGGTTGGGTCCGCAAGGAATGCCAAGCGAAGCAACGCCAAGCAGTGCAGCGCAATGCCAAGCACTGATTTGCATGACCTCGGAGTGATTCGGTCGCCCTGGAAGAAGGGGGGCTGCACCGCCTTCATCTGTTGATCAGTTCTGGCGCTTCTCCTCGATCTCGGCCTCCGGGGGCTGACATCGGGCCCGTGGGGCCATCAAGAAGGGAACCGAGGCGAGACGCTGCTAGGGGGAGAAGGGGGGTTAGGGCCTCCCGCGGCCGCGCACTGGAAACACCACTCTGCTTCGAGCGATTCCCTCCGAAACCTGCGGCGTTTGATCCCGAAGGTGCGCGCGCCCAGTGAGACAATAAGCGTCGTAACAAAACTCAGGACGGGAGGTTTGGAGCTATTTTCGGCCCCGAGGGGCCCTCGCCAGGCCTCGGGGCCGTCAAAAACGACTCAAGACGAAAAGCCGGTCCCGAGGAAAGGGTCGGGACTTCCAGGGACGCCGTCCTGAACAAACCAGAACGTCGCACGTCTGGCGGTGGCCTCGTCCAGTGTTATGCCACGCTATGCTATGCTCTTTTATGTTATGTCATGTCTGTTCCGATCTGTCATAGCATGCGTTGCTGTGCTGTGCTGTGCTATGATGTGCGATGCCATGTGATTTGATGATGCGACATGTTATGTGTTGGTATGGTCAGTTCTGCGTTGAGTTGTTATGGTGTGCTTGGTTTGTTGTGTTATGGAATGATATGTGCTGTGATGCTGTGCTCTGGTTTGCACTGCTCTGTTATTGCGTGTTAACTTACGGTATGGTCTGTCATGATATGTGTTCGGATATGTTCTGTACGGCGGTATGGTGTCATGCTTTGTTCTGTGGGGGACCTGGGGATCTGGCGGCCGCGGTATGCAGAGTGGGCGAGTCGGCGCCGGGGGCGGGACCACCGGGGATTATCGGGAGCCTCGGGATCTAGCGGCCGCGGTATGCAGGGCGGAGTTCAGTTCTTAAAGTCTAACGACCCTAACCTGTCGGATGGGGAAAAGCACATCCTCACACGTCTGGGGCGAGGATTCGAGGTGTCCCCTTCTCTTGTCGGCGACTACAAAGGGTGAGGCTACGCCTGGGTGTGGTTTGCGATCGGCGCCGTTGGGGCCTGGGGGGGGCACGACAATGTCCGCGTCGGACCTCCTCGGGGGGCGGCGGAGGACTCTGTCGAGGTCCCCGCCTACCCTTCAGGGTGCCCCCAGGATGCCGGTTGCAAACCATACTAATCGGCCTCCTCCTCGTCCTCCTCCTCCTCCTCCTCGTCCTCCTCCTCCTCCTCCTCCCTCCCTCCCTCCCTCCCTCCCTCCCTCCTCCTCCTCCTCCTCCTCCTCCTCGTCGCCGCGGCCGGGCGCCTCTCAGACATCTGGTCCAAGCGCACCCCAGGAGAGGTCCCGATGGTCGAATCTCGGTCCCCTTCGCCCATGCCCCCTTCGACAGCGACCGATGTCGAAAACGATCGACGTCGCTCGTTTTCGACACGATCGACGCCCCAGTGGCCCCCTAAGAGATCGGCGCCGTCGTCGTCGTCGTCGCCCCCTTCTGCCCTCCCCAGGGCAACCACGAGGGTGCGCGAAGTCAATCGCGCCTCGCGGTCTGGGCGATTCCAGAGCGAGGCGCGAGTCCTTCGTCCTGCTCGGGGGGGGGGGGCGGCGCGAACGCGTGGAGAGAATCGCGCCTCGCGGTGCGCGGAGCGCGAAGCGCGACGATCGTTGCCCTGTCCTCCGTGGCCCCGGGAGGCCCCAAGAAGAGCGAGCAACATAGCTCTGCGACGACATGCTGCCCAGAGACCCCTCAAAAAGGCAGCAAGACGTGGGCGAGTCCTCGCCCCCCTTGCTAGGCCCCTGGGGCCGTCCACAAAACGACTCGGGACGAACAGCCGACCCGCGGGGACGGGGTCGGAGCCTGGGTCCGCGTCTTGGAACACCCAACGACGCTGGATGTTTGAGTCCCCCCCCCCTTTCGCCCCTCGGGCGAACGGCAGCGGGGGGGAAATACGTGTGAGGTGAGGAGAGGCGCACCCTTCCAGCGCCTTTTTGGGGGCCGCGGTGGCAGTGTGGGGGCCCTTCAGGGCTACTTTCCTGCAACTCGCGGTCGCATCCCGTTCACTGCCTCTCCGTGGATGTCCACCCGAGCCCCTCACCGCTCCTCGTCCTCCTCCCCATCCCCGCGCCCCCTCCTCCAGGCCCCCCCGCTCCCCTCAACGCCGACCCTCTCCCCCTCTCCCCCTCGCACCCTCCAATCCGCCCACTTCTGAGCACCCCCTCCCGTCCCCGCTCCCTCTCCCCTGGTCCCTCTCCCCCCCAGCCCCAGCAGCGGGCGTTGATGTCGGGATCCCCGCGCAGTGCCAGACTTTGACTGGCCGGAGCTTCATTGTCGAATTTGCGAGGTATGTGCGGGGCGCTCTGTCGCACATCCTAGTTTCGGTCGGGCCCCTTCTTTCGTATGGGGTAGGCGTCGTGTCCAAAAGCCACAGACGGCGGCGATACACCACCACCCCTGGCAAAGGCCATTCTTGACCCCTGGATGGTGTACAGGACGTGAGAGGCTGCATACACAGTCCTGGGGTCCAAGATGACCCTAGCCCGTGATGTTGGTAGCGTGTAGCCGTCGTCGCTGGGCAAGGTGTGCAATGACGGAACCCGCAGCAGGAAGCTGGGGCCGAACCCGGCGCGACCACAATGAGGGGAGCATTTCCCATTGCATGGGCGCGGTGCTTGGCATTTCTTAGCACTGCCTGGCAGAAGGCACCCAGGGGCCCCGAGGAACATTGGCATTGCTTGGCATCAGGCACCCGGGGAACTTGGGGCACCCAGGGAACCTCTGGGGAACGGGCAAAGTAGGGCCCCGAAACGCCAATATATAACCAAGTAATCCTTATCCGTATCCTCATCCTCATCCTCATCCTCCTTTCTGTCGCCTTTCCCAACGGGGGGCAAACCTCAACATCCATTAGGTCTGCTTTGGCCTGCGGTGAAAGATACCATTCTACTCATGGTCGGGAGTTTGGATTCACTGATGGGGTGCGGGGACGCCCCCCGAGGGCATCTCTCCCAGTCCTGCTATGCTCCAGGCTGCAGACGGGCTGCCCATGTTGGAGCCCTGGTCCTGCTCCGAGAGAAGGCAGATGGCACCTCGATCCTCGGTTGTCCGTGTCTCCTCCCCCCGTTCTTCCCCTCCCGCTCTCCAGCGAATGACGCCGAGCACAGGCAGAAACTCCCGCTCGTGAGGAGGGGGAGGGAGCCACGGCTTGCGTCGCCCTGCCGGGGCCTTTGTGCATTCCCCCACGTCTTCCTGCCCATCCTTCTGCGACGGATGGAGAGGATTGCATCCGCGCGCCGCGCGCCAGGGAAGGGGCCGCCCCTGGCGCGCGATGCGCTCCGCGCGCCGGGGAGGGGCCCAGCGCCGCCCCAGAAAGTCCGAGCGGACCTCCGAAAGGATCGAAGACGCCTACGGCGAATCACCGCCGCCCCCTGCCTTTTTGGAAGCGCCTATGTGGCCGAACGTTGAGGCCAGACCTGCCAAGCTATCGGACCACGTGTTCCCCGAATCGGTTTGGAAAGCCTTCGGGGAACACGTGGGCATCTTGAAGGTCATCTTGGCCGTCTTGGAGGCCTCTTGGGCAAGCTTTGGGCGATCTTTGGGGCTTTTTGGGCCGTCTCGGGCCAGCTTCGAGCCAACTTCGGCCATCTTGGTGGGTTCCTGGCACGTCTGAAGCCGTCGGAAGCCGTTTGGGGGGCCTCTATGGGCCGACTTGGGGCCCGCTTGGAATGCTCCAGGGCCGTCTTGGAGGCCATCTTGGGCGTCTGGGAGGCCATCTTGGGCGTGTTGGAGGCCTCTTGGGCCCTCTTGGGGCCCTCTAGGGGCCATCTTGGAGGCCACTTGGGCCATCATGGGGCTCTCTTGGGGGCCTCTTGGGCGATCTTGGGGGCTTCTTGGGCCGTCTCGAGCCGTCGGAGAGCCGAAAAGGCGCAAATGCCAGAATCCTTCAAAAACCAATGAAAAATCAATGATTTTGGCCTCTTCGGACTCTCCTGGAGGACCTCTTGGAGGCCTCTTGGGCCGTCTGGGAGGCCTCTGGGGGGCCTCTTGGGCCGTCTTGGGCCGTCTTGGACTCTCTTGGGCCGTTTTGGAGGCCGTCTTGGACCATCTCGGGCGGACTTGGAGGCCATCTTGGGCCATCTTCGCGATTTTTTGAGGATGTCCCGAGCGAAACGGCCGTTTTTTGGAGGATTTTTTCCGGTTGAGTTGGCACCTTCCGGGTGGCCGGCGGGTTCTGCCGGAGCCCACTGGGGAGTTCTTTTGGAAAAAGAACCACAACCAAAACCTGAAACATCCAGCACGCCGTGCACCCCTGCAAGCAGGGGGCGGCGGATCGAAGACGCCTACGGCGAATCACCGCCGCCCCCTGCCTTTGTGGAAGCGCCTATGTGGCCGAACGTTGAGGCCAGACCTGCCAAGCCATCGGACCATGTGTTCCCCGAATCGGTTTGGAAAGCCTTCGGGGAACACGTGGGCGTCTTGATGGTCATCGTCGCCGTCTTGGAGGCCTCTTGGGCGATCTTTCGGCGATCTTTGGGGGCTCTTGGGCCGTCTCGGGCCGTCGGAAGGCCGAAAGAAGGGAAATGCCCAAATCCATCAAAAACCTTGGGAAAATCAGTGATTTTGGCATCTTTTGGCCTTCCTGGAGGCCCTCTTGGGGGCCTCTTGGGCCCTTTTGGGCCAGCTTCGAGCCAACTTCGGCCATCTTGGTGGGTTCCTGGCACGTCTGACGCCGTCGGGAGCCGTTTTGGGGGCCTGTCTGGGCCAACGGGGGACCCTCTTGGGGCGCTCCAGGGCCGTCTTGGAGGCCATCTTGGGCGTCTTGGAGGCCATCTTGGGCGTGTTGGAGGCCTCTTGGGCCGTCTTGGGGCCCTCTAGGGGCCATCTTGGAGGCCACTTGGGCCATCAGGGGGCTCTCTTGGGGGCCTCTTGGGCGATCTTGGGGGCTTCTTGGGCCGTCTTGAGCCGTCGGAGAGCCGAAAAGGCGCAAATGCCAAAATCCTTCAAAAACCAATGGAAAATCAATGATTTTGCCCTCTTCGGACTCTCCTGGAGGACCTCTTGGAGGCCTCTTGGGCCGTCTGGGAGGCCTCTGGGGGGCCTCTTGGGCCGTCTTGGGCCGTCTTGGACTCTCTTGGGCCGTTTTGGAGGCCGTCTTGGACCATCTCGGGCGGACTTGGAGGCCATCTTGGGCCATCTTCGCGATTTTTTGAGGATGTCCCGAGCGAAACGGCCGTTTTTGCGCACGGTGGCGGGTTCTGCCGGAGCCCACTGGGGAGTTCTTTTGGAAAAAGAACCAAAACCAAAACCTAACAGCTCGTCCAGCACGCCGTGCACCCCTGCAAGCAGGGGGCGGCGGATATCCAGCTGCCTGCGGCAAGTCCCGCCACCGTGCCAGCGAGGCATTCTGGGTGGCGATTGTTCGAGGGGTCACAGGAGGCCGTCACGTGTGGCACGTCATTCTTCCAGGCTTGGAAGAGCCGTGATGATGCTGCTGCTGATGATGAGGAGCAGGAGCAGGAAAAGGAGGAGGAAGAGGAGGAGGAGGAGAAGCAAGAGCAGGAGCAGGAGCAGGAGGAGGAGGAGGAGGAGGAGGAGGAGGAGGAGGAGGAGGAGGGGGGCGCGCAGCGCGCAGGGTCAAAACCCGCTGCGTCAGCGCGGGGCTCCCGTACGGGAGCGTTAAGCTGCTCACCGCGGCGCACGCCACCTTCCTGCTGGCAGTGCAGAACATGACCAGATTCCTCAGGGTCGTCCCCCGCCTGTGGAAGCTGCAGCTCTCGCTCCACAAGCGCACTCCCAGGGAACATCGCCTGAGGTGTTCCCTGGCTGCAGGAAGCTGGGCATCAACGAGCTGGAACTGCGGATCACAGAGGCACTGTGAGCCCTCGGGGTGGAGGAGAGCTCGTGGCTCGGGGCGGGGGAGGACCAGCCTGGCCGCGGGGACGCGCCCGTCGCAGCTTACGACGCCAACGAGGCGCGCATCTTCAGGCAGGGCCGGAGCCTCCCTCATGGGGAGCACTTCGTGGACGTCGCCGACGCCTTCGACACCGCGCACCTCGGGGCTGTCACTCTCCACCTGCACGGCACGGCCAGCGTGGAGGGCCAGGACCTGGCGATGGCGGCAGCCATGGTCCACGAGTCCTCCATCGGCGTCACCTCTGGCCACGTCGCCTCAGCACCGCAGCCCCTCGCCACAGGCATGCCAGAGGGGAGGTGGTTCGCGTTGGTTTTCTTCGCGTGCTCCGCCAGGCGCTTTCCGGTCGCCACCGCGGCGGCCCACCTTGGCGTGGGCCTCGACACGCCAGAGGAGGCTGTGCGCGCATTTCATGGGAGCCGCCAGGGCAAGGCCGAGCCCGACCGCGCGGCGGCCGAGGAGGAGGAGGCAGCGAAGGCGGCAACAGCGGGGGAAAAGAGACCGGACCAGGTCATGACCGAGGCCACCTCCGATGCCGAGGTCGGCCTTGCGCAGCTCATGCATAACAAATCCCTCCGATCCTCCTCATGGGGGTCCCAGGCCGTGGGCGCGCGGGCGTTGCAGGCTGCGGCGGGCAGCATGCGCGCGCAGAGACACGGCACGGGCCGTGCAAAGACGGAGTGCCTGGCGGAGCCCGCCTCCCGCATGGCGGCGGGCAGTACGTCGATGCGCACGCGTACGTCGGCTTCCCCACTGATGAGCAGCACGCATGACGGCGCTCGTGCATCACGTTGAGCACGCCGCACTGCGGGGCTGGATGACCATCCTCACGGTCCTGGAGCTCCTCGGGGTGCCCATGACGGTGGCCCTCTGCGCGCTAGACGCCAGTCCGGCCGCAGGCGTGTTGGGCGGCGCCGCTCCTCATCGTCTGCCGCGACTGGGGCGGCCGAGTGCCGTCCAGGACCGATGGGCCAGCCGCCTCCCGCTGGACATCGACGCCCCCACACGCCGAGAGTCCTCCTCCTCCGGGAGCTCGGCTTCCCGCAGCGGCTCTCTATTCAGACCTTCAGAGCAGCGGCAGCACTGGCGACCAGGATCGAGTCCACCGCGCCCAGGTCCCAGCCCAGCGGGGTTGCGCGCATCGCGGCGCAGACAGCCCCCCTCGTGGACGTGGACGCTGCGCGCCCACTTGGAGGAATACGCCATCCCGGAATAGGCGGCATTTTCCTTCCAGAGGTTTCAAGAGCCGAGAGCCCACGCACGCGCCAGCCTGGGCGGGCAGGAGGCGGCACATTCGCGCATACCTGACCGAGGCAGCCGGCCCCCCTGCTGACAGAGGTCGAATTGCGTAGGCGCGTCCGCGAGGCGGCCGCCTTCCCGCCGCGGGGTTAGTTAAGGCACGGCGATCCAGGCGGCGACCGCGACATCGGCCCCATGGTCAGCCATCTGGGCGTTGGCGCAGCTGCGCCTCCAGGGCCGCCTCACAACGCACACGACCCGCACAGCGCGAGGAGGTCATTTCCCGAGACGGGCTCCGCACTCCTAGAGGTGCACCACCAGGTTGCAGAGGGGGCCCGCGAGCTCGCGCGCGGCACGGCGTGGGCGGAGTTCCCGCTGGCGGCCATCCTCACTGGATTGCGCGTGGGCCATGGCATTGGGGCGCGGGCGGCGGTCGCCGCAGACCTGGCGCGGGATGCCCGCGCCGCGGTGGCAGCCTGTCTGGGCACGGAGCCGCTGACGCTGGCGCCGCCGGGCTGCAGCACCGCCGCCGCGCGCGGTCGGCAGGCGCCGCCGGCGGGAGGCCACGAGGCGCTGGGCGCCGCCAGGGCGCTTGGGGGGAATATTCTCGGTGAGCGTCCAGTCCGACGCCAGGGCAAAATCGCACCCTTGTGGGCGACCCCTCGGCCTGGGCTGAGGCGCTGGCAGTGCCGCGGGGTCCAAGTCAAGTTTGCTGTTTCAAAGAAGCGTTCGCCAGCCAACCAGCGGGCGCCCACAGACACCAGGCTGTGGCGACGCGTAGAGGAGAAAAGGAGAAGGAACAGGAGGATGAGAAAGAGGGTGGCCGTCACATGTGACACCTTCCGTTTCCGCTTATAGACGAGCTCTCATAGAGCTCACTCATTTGGGCCGTCCTGAGACTGTCTCGGCCTCGTGTGGGGCAGTCATGGGCGTCTCTTGGGACTTGGGGCCTTCTTGGGTCGTCTTGGGGTCCGGTCGGCTAGGCCGTCTGAGGGCTCTTTGGGGCCGTCGCGGGGCTATTTGGGATGTGTGGGGGGTTTCTGGGGGCCTTCGTGGGGCCGTCGATGGGCAATTTAAGGCCGTGTCGGATCCTTCCGGAAGCACTCTTGGGCCGTTTAGGATGCCTCGTTGACCATCGCGGGGTCCTCTTGCGCCATCCTGAGCCCTCTTGGGACGTTTTGCGCCCATTTCGGAGGTTTCTTAGGCCGTCTTGTGTTGAATCTGGTGTATTTTGCAAGGGGGTGTTGCCTCGAGGGCGCGAACTTGTTTCGTTTTCACGAGGGTGGTGGCTTCGGGAGTGCGAATCTGTCGTATTTGGAACGGCGCCCACGACCCAGCGTGACGAAAGGGTTGGTGGTGTTCCTCAGATAGCAGAGTTCTTGCCAGACAGCGCGTGGCCTTCTAGCTCGCCCTAGCGTGCTACGGGGCACGTCGGCGGAGACTGATTATGCAGTTGTCTTTTTGACAGGATTCGAGCGTTGGGCTTCAGCATCACGTGGGCGCAGCCCCCCCCCACCGGCCTCTGCCGCTGAGGGGGGCGGAGTGCAGTGAGGCTGCATGATGGCACAGCAAGGCACCCCCCAGGGGAAGGGGCACGCTTCAGTCAAGACGCTGGAACAAGGACCACTTCGGACTCAGGAGGGATAAGGTTTTCGAACCGTTTTTGAGATCGAAGTCGGTGAACCGATTCGTGGTCAAGGCTCGCCGTTGCCAGGCAAGCCCCTTCGTTTCTTATTTGGTGTTCATGTTGCTGGTATCGCGATGACGATTGTAGGGCCCGATTTCAGGGCCGTCTAGACAGTTCATTTCCTCCTGGCCTTCCCCGTCCTATGGCCAAGCTCGCCGCCGCCACCAGCGCAGTGGCAGGCCCCAGCTCGTCCGGGCCACCTTCGCGGCGGCCCCAGCGCCAGGCAGGCCGTTCGTGGTCACGCAGGTCACTGGGGGCAACGCCAGGGAGGGTGGCCCCAGGAGCGAAGAGGAGGAGGAGGAGGAGGAGGAGGAGGAGGAGGAGGAGGAGGTGGAAAAGGAAGTGGAGGAGAAGGGTAGGGAGAACAGGGGAGAGAGCAAGAGGAGGAGGAGGAGGAGGTGGAGGACTAGTGCAAACCCAAGACGCATCAACGATATTGAAATAAATCCTCCTTCCGAGCTCCTTTCTGATAGGCCCCTACGAGGGTCCATTTTCATGGAGGGGAGTGCCCCGTTGGAAGACAGTTGTTAAAGATTCGAGGATGCGCCAGAACACAATTCCTGGGGCTTCAACGCCACGAATCACCGTTCCTGTTGCATCTTGACGATCCTGAATCGTGCCATAACGCCACCCTTGGGGCTTCAACATTGCAAATCCACATGACTGTTGCGCCCTGACATTCCGACGTCGTGCCAAGCCATTCCTTTTTGGGACGTCAGCCATGGAAATCCGTGGAACTCCTACGAAATTGTAAGACGAAGATGCGCGGCACTCAGGCGACAGCCACATTTTGAAAATTAGCCGCCCTCCATCCGTGAAGCTCTTGCAATGTTTAAGACGAAAGTTGTCCGGCACGAAAGCGAGAGCCGCATTTTGAAAACGATCCACCCTCCTTGTTGGAAACTCTTGTCTTTTTTGTTCAGACGAATGCGCGCAACGCTAAGGCGAGAGCTGCATTTTGAAAACGGTCCGCCCTCCATATGGGAAGCTCTTGCAACGTTTTAAGGCGAATGTGCGCGACTCTAAGGCGAGAGCCACATGGTGAAAACCACCCGTGCTCCTCCCGTGAACCTGTTATAAATCCTAAGCTTCAGGAGGACAGAGGGTGAGGAAGTCTCAGGCGAAACGCTCGGGCCTCCCTTTCAACAGGCCTCGGGGAGTGACAGGGAGGAGTCATTTATAAGGAAGAGAGATGGAGAGATGGAGGCGGAGGAGGAGGAGGAGGAGGAGGGGAAGGATTTTTTTTGTCCGTAGGCATTTTGGCTCATGCCGCGCGCGCGCTGGTTCAAGGGTCGGCCTTTGGCGAAAGCCAGCTGGACGGCCCATCGCCCTGCGCGCGCAGACATGATGGACTGCGGCGGGCTGCCAACCGACTGGCGGCCCAGCGCCCTCCGCCTGCGCGAGGACGGTGCCCTGGGGCGCTCGGCGGCACGCCGCGCCGCTCGGCGCCGTGCCCGCGAGGCCTGCGAGCGTGGGCTGTGGCGTGCCCTGCATGGCAGTGGCGATCGGCCATGCGGCGGGTCAGCCCTGGCAAGCCTTGCAGGCGACATCCACAGGCGCGAGATGCTTTCCAGGGGCGTGCTCGTCGACAAGATCCTTGGCGAGCGCTCGCAGCCCGCCCGCGTCCTCAAGCGGAACTGCGCGCAGCACTCCAGGCACCTATCCGAGGACGGCTCGCCGCTTGCGGAGTGGCGAGATGCCGAGCGTGGGCCGCGGCGTGGTTCCAAGGTGCCTGGGTCTCCTGCTGTCGTTGTCGATCTTGAGGCCCCGCGCGCAGAGCCGCCAGACTTGCATCCCACAGTGCAAGGACTTTTGCGTAGCCAGGGCGCGGAGCAGCCAAGTGGCTTCGAAGGAGGCCCAGCGTGGAGGGCGTCGGTGCTGGAGCAGTTCCTCCACTTCGAAGTGGGCAAGATAGCACACGTGATGAACGCCGAGTCGTTGGTGTTCGTCCCATCTGCTGCGGAGGTATCCTCACCCTCGGTTGGACATCGCTGCACTTGCGGCGCCGTGGTATTCTCGTCCTGCCTGCAGGGCCTTTTCAAGCTCATGGTGCCCGTTGAGAGGGCGCAGGCCGAGGAGAAGGCGTCGGGCACTTCGGCAACCCGCGGGAACCTCCAGGTGATGCCGTACTTGAGCTCTGACCTCGAGGGAGTTCCCGATTTAGTTGGCTCTCTTTTGCTGCGTGGCGAGAGGGGCACTGATCATCAAGACCCCTCGGACGCCGCAGCAGAGGCAGACCGACATGTGGAGGCCACCCATCTGGAGGTCCTCTTGCAGGCGCAGGAGGCCGCTGTAGCCGTCGACACCATGGGGGAAGAAGACCGGTTCAACAGACGACCGGTTCAACAGGGACCGGTTCAACAGACGACCGGTTCAACAGACACTGGTTCAACAGACGACCAGTTCAGCAAGGACCGGTTCAACAAAGACCGGTTCAACAGGACCGGTTCCGCAGAACCAGTTCCACAGAACCGGTTCCACAGGACCGGTTCCGCAGGACCGGTACCACAGTACCGGTTCCACAAGCCCAGTTCCACAGGACTGGTTCCACAGGACCGGTTCCACAGGACGGGTTCCACAGATGCGGTTCTTTCCTGCTACTCTCTCTCATTACACTGCTGCTGCTGCTGTTGCTGCTGCTGCTCCTCCTCCTCCTCCTCTTCGTCCTCCTCATCCATCACTCTCTGCCCTCCCGCCCTCCCCCATCCCTCGTTGCTGCTACGCCCCCCCGCCCCACATCCCTCATCCCTCCCTACTTCCTCCTCCCCTCTCCTCCTCCATCTATCATCGACAGCCACCCACCCGACCCGTCCTGCCCGACCCGACCCGACCCGTCCCGCCCGTTAGGGTCCGCTCGCCCGACCCGTCCCGCCCGTTAGGGTACTCGCTTGCCAACTCGATGGCGCATCATTCTTTAATGTCCCGCCCGCCTGACCCGACCCGAACCGCCCGTTAGGGTCCGCCCGCCCGACCCGAACCGTCCCGCCCGTCAGGGTTCGCCGGGCCGCCGGACCCGTCCCGCCCGTTAGGGTACTCGCGTGCCAACTCGATGGCGCATCATACTTTAATGTCCGCCCGACCCGACCCGAACCGCCCGTTAGGGTCCGCCCGCCGGACCCGTCCCGCCCGTTAGGGTACTCCGGTGCCAACTCGATGATGCATCATTGTTCGCCCGCCCTACCCGCCGACCCGTCCCGTCAGTGAGGGTCCGCCCGCCCGACCCGACCCGTCCGCCCGCCCGCCGGACCCGTCCCGCCCGTTAGGGTACTCGCGTGCCAACTCGATAATGCATCATACTTGAATGTCCCGCCCGCCCGACCCGACCCGACCCGCCCGTTAGGGTCCGCCCGCCCGACCCGACCCGTCCCGCCCGTCAGGGTCTGCCCGCCCGACCCGTCCCGCCCGTTAGGGTACTCGCGTGCCATTCGATGGTGCATCATTCTATAATGTCCCGCACGCCCGACCCGCCGCCCGTTACGGTCCGCCGCCCGACCCGACCTGTCCCGCCCGTTAGGGTCTGCCCGCCCGACCCGATCCGTCCCGTCCCGCCCGTTATAGTCCGCCCGCTCGCCGGACCCGTCCCGCCCGTTAGGCTACTCGCGTGCCATTTTGAGGATGCATCTTTTTTTATATCCCGCCCGCCCGACCCGACCCGTCCCGCCCGTTGGGGTCCGCCCGCCCGCCCGACCCGTCCCGCCCGTTAGGGTCCGCCGGGCCGCCGGACCCGTCCCGCCCGTTAGGGTATTCGCGTACCAACTCGGTGGTGCATCATACTTTAATGTCCCGCCCGCCCGTCCCGCCCGCCGACCGCCCGACCGTTAGGGTCCGCCCGGACCCGTAGGGTCCGCCCGCCCGCCCGACCCGCCCCGCCCGTTAGGGGGCACTCGCGTGCCAATTCGACGGACATCATGCTTTAATGTCCCGCCCGACCCGACCCGCCCGTTAGGTCCGCCCGCCGACCCGACCCGTCCCGCCCGTTCGGGTCCGCCCCCCGCCCGACCCGCCCCGCCCGTTCAGGTACTCGCGTGCCAACTCGATGGTGCATCATTCTTTAATGTCCCGCACGCCCGACCCGACCCGTCCCGCCCGTTTGGGTCCGCCCGCCCGACCCGACCCGTCCGCCCGCCCGCTGGACCCGTCCCGCCCGTTCGGGTATTCGCGTGCCATTTTGATGACGCATATTTTTTTACATCCCGCCTGCCCGCCCGACCCGCCCCGCCCGTTAGGGTCCGCCGGGCGCGACCCGCACGTTAAGGTACTCGTGTGCCATCTCGATGTGCTCCATACTTTAATGTCCAGCCCCGCCCGTCCCGCCCGTCCCGACCCAGGGTACTCGCGTGGCCCCGTTGGAGCATCCTACATTAATGTCCCGCCCGCCCGACCCGACCCGCCCGTTGAGGTCCGCCGCGATGTACGCAGGGTCCGCCCGCCCGCCCGACCCGCCCGACCCGCCCATTAGGGTACTCGCGTGCCAACTCGATGTGCACCATCTTTAATGTCCCGCCCGCCCGACCCGACCTTGTCCCGCCCGTTAGGGTCCGCCCGCCCGGCCCGACCCGTCCGCCCGCCCGCGCTGGACCCGTCCCGCCTGTTAGGGCAACTCGCGTGCCAATTAGATGGCGCATCATATTTTAATGTCTCGCCCGCCCGACCCGACCCGACCCGCCCGTTAGGGTTCGCCCGGCCGACCCGACCCGTCCCGCCCGTTAGGGTCCGCCCGCCGACCCGTCCCGCCCGTTTGGGCACTCGCGTGCCAACTCGATGGTGCATCATTCTTTAATGTCCCGCGCGCCCGACCCGACCCGGCCCGCCCGACCCGACCCGACCAGTCCCGCCCGTTCGGGTCCGCCCGCTCGCCGGACCCGTCCCCCCCGTTAGCGTATTCGCGTGCCATTTTGATGACGCATCATACTTTTATATCCCGCCCGCCTGACCCGACCCGTCCCGCCCGTTAGGGTCGGCCCGCCCGCCGGACCCGCCCCGCCCGTTAGGGTCCGCCGGGCCGCCGGACCCGTCCCGCCCGTTAGGGTACTCGCGTGCCAACTCGATGGTGCATCATATTTTAATGTCCTGCCCGCCCGACCCGACCCGACCCGCCCGTTAGGGTCCGCCCGACCGACCCGACCCGTCCCGCCCGTTAGGGTCCGCCGGCCCGCTGGACCCGCCCCGCCCGTTAGGGTACTCGTGTGCCAGCTCGATGGTACATCATACTTTAATGTCCCGCACGCCCGACCCGACCCGACCTT